GGAGTGTGCGTTTCTTGTTGGTAACTTTATGTCCTACCAACGGCCCTGGATGTGTGATAAGCTTCTTCACACTTTCTCAGGCATGTTTTTCCAGTTCTTTTCTCACAAACAGGGAAGCTGGGTGAGTGTCTGGGTTTGATTCAAGAGGCTTAATTCCAGTGTTTCCACCACCCCTGCCTCACAGGACACAGACTGCAATCCCAGCCCCATCCCAGGCCCCTTTCTGGGTTTGCATCTCAGGAGCTACTGCAGCTGGAACTCATGCTGATTCCCTGGCTGGAATTCCCTCTTAGTTCTTGGGGCTCAAGGGATCTCCTTTCTTTTGTTTTCATCCAAGCTCAACTATGCACTGAAATAAATTTTGTTACAAATTGTACAGTATTTTATTTATTCTTATTGGGCATGGGACAGGGGTCAACTCAGTCTTCCATCTGGGGCAAGAGGGGAGCAGTATTCTGTCTCTTACCCTAGAGACTATTTCCTGACTTCCACTAAAACCCTAACCATATTCAGGTCCTAGAAGACGGACTGGCTGGAGCTGAGTCTGTTTTCCTTCAAATATTAGTTGAACTTTTTAGTTCTTAAGCAACAATAATCACTGAAAACCACAAATAGCAATCAGAAAAGACTATTTTTATACAAAGCATTCCATTAAAAAGGTATGGTCTCAGAGAGACGGGGTGGCAGCCCTCTTTGAAGAGGTGGGCCCTTCCCCTCCACAGAGAGCCGGGAACAGGGCTGGGGGTACCTTCTAAGCTCTTCAATATGCAATTTCAAGAACCCCAGAACTGTTAAGAGGTCTTAAAATGTCAGGACGACACACGTTCAATTAAGGTTAAAAACAAAAAACCACTCAGGAGACCGCATTGTTTTGAGTCACTTGTGGGGAAAATCTTGAATATCTTACATTTAAAAATCAAGGACTTCATGCTACTAACTTCAGGAAAACTTTCCCAATATCTTGATTGTGAGTTCTGAAGGGAGAAGAGATGGCCTGGGTTCCTCCTACCTGTGATAAAATATAAGATTCTGTTCGTCTTCCCAGAATTCCCAGGGCAGCATGCAGCTTGTGTTTTCCAATAACCACAGTAAAAACAACAACAATGAAAACAGATTTAGAAAGAAAATCTCGTACCTTCAACTACTTAGTTTTTTTTAAAGACGTGAATTTTGCTTTTAGCCTGGAATTTCTAAAACATTACCCAAATAATCCAATATATATATTTCTGCCATCACAAATCATCTATTGTGTCTTAAAATTCCAATCTTAAGGCCTCTATTGCTAAAGAATCTTTCATGTCAATGTATCCCAACATTTTTGTAGCATTTTCTCATGCTACATTTATATAGTAATACTAATAGCTTATTTTATTTCTTAGTTTTAATGGGGGCAAAAACACAGATCTAAGACACTGTTATTCCATGGCTGTGGATATCAGATACGTTCTCCCAGCCCCGCCAGGCATCATTATCTGTCTTCCTACCTCGGAAAATCTATCTGCTATGGTAACAAATCAAGCCATAAAAATGTAAACCAACAGACAAATCCATGAACTGACATCTGTGACCCCACCCAATGTCCATAAATTTTCCCGTGTTCTAGTTGAAAAGCAAGTAGTATCATGCATCTGTCAATAAAGTTTAAAAAGAATCATGTACTTTTAAATTATTTTCCTATATTAAATTGACAGATTATATGACACACGAATTTTTGCTATGTCAAGATAAACCAGTCTGCCATCTTATCGCTCTATAGTATGTGGCTACTGCCTTTATCTAAAAGGTAGCAGGAATCACTAAGAAAATTATACAAATTGAGACCATCTTAGTATTAAATTGGCAGATTATTATGACAACTGAGATTGTTCTTAGTAAATTTATGATTATTATTAGGAGAGGTCTCTGCAAAGCAGAATCCTGCAGAAACTGCACTCCTGTTAAAGGCATCGAGACCCTCATTAAGCAAACTGCCGCTCCATTTTCACGCCACGCTGCATTTCAAGGATTTAGAGTTGGGCTGTCTGCATATTCTTGGTAGGAACAAAGGTACCAATAAATAACAATCAATCTATTAAACATTTTTATCTCATGAAAACATAGTCTCACAAGTTTCAAAATCTTGTAATACAGAACATGCAAGTAATTTGCATATTGAGATCATGATCTATATTTTATATATAATTAAAATTTTAAGTTCTCTGAAAAATAGGCCACACCATTGCAGAGCCTCCCCAGCTGTAGAATTCTGAGGTCTCTAGCGTCCTGTAAACTTTGTCCTGGGTCGTGTTTGTTTGACAGATATTATCATCTGAGACCAGGCTAATTATTCAATCTGGATCCAAAGAACTAGCTCTCACTGAAAGAACTAATCATTAAAATGCAAATAGGTGTTTCCCACTTCACTGGCTTAGCCACCGAAGGCTGTTAACAGCTTTCTGACAAGAAAGAGAGATGCTAAATGAGGTGGTGCCTTCACCTTCTGGATGTAATGAGTGCTGCACACCCACATCCAAGCCGCCCGTGCTGCCGCCAGCCTCTGGCTGGTCATTTCTGTGCCACGACATTTGTGAGTTAACTCACAGAAGCTGCCTAAGAAATTATCGAACAAAAAGGCTGATTTCAGATTCCACTCTCCGTGCCCAGCCAGCTCTCACTTAGACTAATTACTTAAATGATTTTAAAAATGTATGAATATTCATATGACAGTGCTTTGTGAAAACTAAAACACAGCTGAGACCTCGCCATGAGCCCGTCCTCCTCCCTGATCTGGAGCAACCGCACTCACACATCTGAAACACCCGGGCAGCTTCAGAGAACTGTGGCCCAGTGGGGAGGGGCAGGCCAGAGCAGTGAGCCCCACTCCCCCACTGCCCAGCCCCTCCCCCGCCACCCTCGGCTGGAGAGCCCCACGACTTCTGCGGGGCTCCCCACCGGACAGTGGGACTCTTCTTATTTGGAGTCCAGTCTGTCTCGTTTTAAATATCCGGAAGCTGACCGGCCCCTAGAGCAGCAACGAGCAGGTCTCTCCCGCTCCCCGCCCCACCGTCACACATTTGCTGTGAGCCGACAGTATGTGTGATGTGGAGGTCGAGCTACGGCAGGTGACCAGGGGAGCGACCCTGAGATTGTCCAGGACCGCACACTCTGGTCTGACGTCTGGTGGTGCTGGGCCTGAAAGGCCACAGACCTGAGGCTGGAGTGCCCCGAGGGAGCCAGCCCACCTCCCCACACTCTGGACGACTCTGGTAGTCTCAAGTCAGCCTGGGCGAGCCAAGGTCCCTTCTAGAGTCAGTCTCAGAAATTATCCAACATCCATCCCTGAGCCAGGACTCCGGGGTGATTTACCAGCCTTCATTCGGTCCAAACCCTTGTCTCCAAACATCACTGATTCTGACTCACTGGGACCAAACTCTCCTTTTCATGACAACGCTAAGTGGCACGCGACAACAAAACACACCCCACACGGGCCACTGTCCTTGGCAGAGGCCGACATTTGTTATTAGAAACAAGTAGATGAAAAGCAGGATGCAATATGTTTAAACCACTATTTACAAGGTTTTATATTTCACAATTTCTCTCACACACTGAAAACTCTCGATAGGGGGTTGGGGGAAAGAGAATGAAAAATGAACTCAAAGCATGATATGCTTTCCATGGTGGGAATGGCAACGGAAGTTATAATGATAAGAAATAACGAAGCTTTCAAACACCCAACAGACAGGCTGCAGAATGTCATCATCCTCTGCAGCAGCCTTGGCGTCTCCAGGAGAAATGACCTGAGGCTTCCCCATCAGAGGAGGCCTCTGCCACACCCAGACCAGCATCCCAGGCTCCACCTGGGAACAGCCCCCACCCACCTGACTCTAAAACATCACATTACTTTTGACTCTGGAAATGCCCAGGGATCCAAAGTCTGATGTTTTGCATAAAAGTGAAGCTTAAGATTTTAAAATACACAGTAACTGACTTTATCGTGGATATATCTGTGCATTCCACGCCTACTAAATGACACAGGAAAAAGTTTTAAAACCTTGTCATACTTCCCTTAACCACCAAATGAGGGAATTGAGTGTTTGACAGAAGTTCCAAGTTAACCCTGTACTCACTTTTTATTTTTAAATTGCGGGTCAGGCCTTTCCAGTGGATGTGACTGAGCTTCTGTGGCTCTGAGCGTACAGAAGCCTTTAACATTCAGCTCTCGGAGTCACGGGTTGGGATCGTCTCACCTGTGGGAGCAGAGCTGGGCTGGGCTCTGACCCAAAGGCACACCCCTGGGGTTGGCAATGTCCCGTGTTCCCCGAGGCTGACTCGTTTTCTAGCCAATTTGCCTCTTTCTGCTGAAAGCAGACCTTGAAATCAAAGTTCCAGTTAATTCAGAGTCCCCATTAATAGGGGTCAGGCGTTTACCACATTTTCCTTATTCTTTCCAATTAGACCATCGAAAAATATCACATCAATGCTGGCTTTCACTAATTCCATTCCAAACAGTCAACAAATGACAGACTCAAGGACCCCATTTTGCCGCGTGTTTAAAACACGAGACTTTCATGGAAAGTGAAATAAGCAACACTGGTGAACATCACTCATGGCCAGCAAAGGCCCCACACACTCTCAGGCTGAGCCACCAACAATCGGGAACGGCTTCCCAGATCCAACTCAGCCAAGGCTCACTGGCACCTTGGGTTCATGCACTTAAAGCCAATAAGCCTGTATCAGCAGGGACTGACAGAAATTTATCGATCCAGAACGAAAAAAAAATAAAGACAATATTGCAATTTGATGGTAAAGCCAGTTCTTCTTCAGAGATGAGCGGCTCAGTCCTAACGCTCACCCTGCACTTTGCTTCCATTACTTGATTCACGTTCATATCAAACAGCACACAGAAAGGGTCCTCAGTGTTCAAGGTTCTCTTCAACACGTTTCATGGCAGATCGTCACCAGCTACACACCTGTGAGCCGCGCGGCCCCCGCCCACCCCAGGCAGCATGTCAGATACTCACCTTCCGGCTCTCCGCAGAGCGTGCACTGCGACTCTGAAAACAGAGACAGAGAGAAGCGGTTACACCCACAGCGTCTCAACCATGCAGTTAAAGATTCAACAGCAGCAATAACAAAAGTACAACTTTGAGATGATGCCACTCGACCACCAGAGCCGGTGGACCCTCCGTAAACAAAGCCAGCTCTGACCTTGCACACCAGCAACTTTTATTTCAAAAGCTACCCTTGGCAAATGTTTTACAGATTACATTTTTACTTTTGAGAATTAAAAAAAAATTTTTTTTTAAGTTCTGGGATACATGTGCAGAACGTGCAGGTTTGTTACGCAGGTATACATGTGCCATGGTGGTTTGCTGCACCCATCAATCCATCATCTAGGTTTTAAGCCCCGCATGCAATACGTTATTTGTTCTAATGCTCTCCCTCCCCACTCACCACCCCTCCCCAACCCCCAACAGTCCCTGGTGTGTGATGTTCCCCTCTGTGTCCATGTGTTCTCACTGTTCAACTCCCACTTACGTGTGAGAACATGTGGTATTACACTTATGTGTAATAACAACCTCTCTGTCATATGCACACAGCAAATATAGTTTTTTAACTGTATATGGCTGAACACAAATTACTTAGATGAAACAAGAATGGTATATTTTATCCCAGTTGCAATATTGAAACCTTGACTTTGGCTACAGCTCTGTTACATCTCCTTTCAGGCACAAGTTATGAGCAAATGTGTATTATCTTTCAGGAAAACACGAAAATCCATGGGTATGGATTGAGTCCCCTGTACGTAGGTCCCTGAGTGACTATGAACTTGGCTCTGTCTGCAGAACAGATATAGACACTTTGGGAGCATTTACAGCTGATCCTCACACAAGGAAGCTGTAGCAAGTGCACAGAAACACAAGTGCAAGATCTTCACGGGAAAGAATTCAGACTTGGGGGCCAGGTGGGCCTGGGTTCAAAGCCAGCTTCCATCCACTTTCCTGAGAACATGCGGGCAGGTGACCTAACGCCCAGCCCTGAACTAGTGTCGAGGATCCTAAGCCCACAAGGGTGGGGGGGGGAATGAGCAGGTGTGTCAGATATTAAGGCTGCAGGGACAGCGCTGGCCTGCAAAGGCCCTCAGAAAGACACTGGCTCCTCTGCACCAGCCACAGAGGCACACACTCTGCCATCCCATGTGACAGCCCAGGGCCCACAGAGGAGACGCCACGTGATGCCATCTGGCCTGAGCCTTGAAGGACAAGCAGGATTTTAAATAGGAATCTGGGGAGGGAGCACAGACGTCCCAGGAAGGGCATGGACAAGGTGGGCAGGCAGGGGACAGGCAGGGGACAGGCAGGGGACAGCAGCAGCATCTGCCCGGAGGGATGGGGCGGGGTGGGAGGCAGGCAGGGAGGTGAGCGGAGGGCATTCAGGAGGGAGTGGAACATTGAAAAGGGAGTTGAGGTGTTGTTCAAAATAAAAATTAGGAGGCAACAAGGGATTTTGAGGCAGAGCCTCACAGGCTTTCATGGCTCCTCTGGAAGGTGACCTTGGTGGCTGGGCGGGGTGGGGACAGAGCCCATGCAGGGCCCGCATGTTTGTGGCCGGTCAGGCTCTGTGGGCGAGTGGGAGAGGGTTCTGGTGGGAAAGAAAGAACATGAATCGTCCTTTAAAACTGTGACTGAGCTCTACTGAGCTCTCCCGACTTCGGGGAGACAGAGCCACACGCCTCGGGGTGGACACTTCTGACTGCACCTGCCTTCACAGGCACTGGTGGACGGGAGGGGAGAGAAGACGTCGGGGCCGCAGGGCAGGACCTGAAGGAGCAGCCCTCGGATGCAGGAGCCCTGGGCCCAGGGCCACACTGCTCTGCATGAGAGGAATGGGACAGGCCATGGTCCACGCACGGGGCCACCTCTGTCCCAGCCACCACCATCCGCAAAGCCTGTGGAGGGGGGCAGGGCTCCTGTCACCGAGGGGACATGGGGCAGCCAGCTCAGGCTCAGGCCATCCCATCGTTGCCGTCACTGAAGCAGACCCTCAGGTTTAGTTAACCTGGAAATGCAGGCACCACCCCTTCACAAATTCTGCAGAAAGTGGGAAGCAGAGGCCTCTCGCTGGGGAACAGAGGGCCCACAGTCAGTTTCCCCTCTGTCTCCAAGGCGAGACTCTCCATGCTGGCATCTGACTGCAGGAGGCACGGGCACGACTGTGTCCCTGTGCACACACACAGTGCCCGGGCAGGAGACGACACACACAGCACCCGGACAGGAGAGGTAGGACCAGAGGCCCAGAGAGTGAGGCCCACGGAGGAAAAGTCAGGAGTGGGCTTTGCGGGAATGCAGTGAACTGCATGGGCTAGGGAAGCTAAAATCCAAAACTCTGCACGCTCACTTGGCCCCCGAAACCCCAAAGGGGTTTTTCATCTTGTCCTGAGAAGAGCTAAGGCAGGAGGCTCCCGGGAAGGATGCCACTGAGTCATGCGGACAAAAAACTGCTTTAAATAAGAGCACGAGGCCCTGAAAGTCTATTTTAGAGTCAAGATGTGAGAAGCCATCTTAAGCCATAGATCGCTTTATTTTCCCCAAACAAAAAGTCAATGCTGCCAATTATCGCCCCCCACGGTACGTTCATGAGCGCCACTCCCAAACTAGAGGCTCCGAGGAGGCCCACGACATCGGAGCCCACTTCATCTTATCTAATCAAGATGTTCCTAACTGTGACCACCGAGACCTTGGCAGGACACTCAGGAACACGGAGTGAACACATGTCAGGAACTGTGGGATCCACTCCGGCCTCCCACGTGGAGGAGACCATGAGGCCTCGATGGACGCATCAGAGGCCACACGATGGGGACAGAGCGGACTCCTGGATGTGCCCCGGCTTCCCCCAGAGCAGGGCAGATGCCGGCTTCACCATGGTGCCTGCAGGAGGCACTGATTTCAGGGAAGGGAGAGGCCGACTGAAACCCGCAAGGCTGGGATCTGTGACCAGCCCTCAGCGTGGAGCCCGCAGGCACACCAGGTTCAAATCGGCCCCCCTGGCCATGGCTGTCCCCACCCCATGCCCCCAGGAGGGACTGGAAGCCTCATGGGCGGCTCACTCAGATGTGGATCAGAACGGGTGGTTCCGCACCTCTTGTCCAATGCGAACCAAAATGTGCGTCAAAACTGACCACAGATTCAAGGCTTTCCCCAGAGTTCATCTTCGTCACAGGTCACATATGTTTAAAATCACCCAGCAAGCTGAACACACAGCAAGTTACTAACAGCAGCATGGACCCTTTCAATGAATTCTTCCCCAAGGAACACCCATTAAAAAAAATATTCACAATGTAGAGAATTAACCTCGATACACTGTGGATTCATCATCATTAGTGCTGAGTCTCATTTAAATTAGGAGAAGACTGCACTGATCTGTGCTAATTGACACAGATGGAGAAATCTGCCTGATGGTTTTGTGTAGGTGAACCCGTACCTGCACCACGTGCGGCCCAGTGAGAACTGGCTCCTTCCCCAAGCTCCAGACGTGAACAGCAAAAGCCCAGCCCCAGCCCAGTGTTTTCTGGCACAAGGTGTCTTGTTTTAATCTCCTAGAAAAGAGGAAACTGCAGCATCTCCCGTGCACATTCATAGAGCAAGTTATCTATGGAGGCCACTCTAAATTTATGCACATATTTTTGGAGAGGCAGCTTTGAGGTCTGGGAAGCCGAGCACACCCTCTCTGGCTTCTGCACGGAGTCGGTCTCCGCAGTAAACACCCTCCCTCCTGACACCAGTCCGGGGAGGGGTGCGCAGCAGCAGCCGAAGGAGCCGGGAGATAAAGGAGCCCCGGGAAGAAACGGCAGGCACAGGAACCGCTCAGCTGCTGCAGCCGTGCGTGGTGGACACAGCCTGGGCCCTTGGCCAGAGCTCCTCAGGGCGAGGCCGAGCTCAGCATTGCTGGGGACGGGTCCTGCTTTCCTGAGGCTGGTTCCAACTCAGCCATGAATGCAAACAGCGTCTGTGCTCCTTCTATAGGAAGCCATGCGGGGACAGGCCCGGGCGTGGGCGGCGTTTGCCGTGGGCCCTGCAGCACAGGCTGCGGAGGGACAGCGGGATGAGGGCTGGCGCTGGGAGGCCTGGTGCTGGGAGGCCCGTGGGGGTGCCTAGATGTGAAGCCCAGCACCAGGCTGCTGTGACAATTGCATTAATTTGCTGCCTCCCCCGTCCTCTGTCCTCCTCTGCCTCCCTCCAGCTGCGACAGTGACTAAGAGACAGGGAGAGAAAACCGCCAACGTCTTTCCTCTTCCAAGTCTCCGAGCACATGGCAGGATCCTCTGCTGTGCTCATCAAGAAAGGCTCCACCTCAGCAGCCACCTGGAGGCACCGTGTCCAGCCACGCTTCAACAGGAGCTCTACACAACAGCAGGTCTGCCAGGCCGCCACGGCCACTGCCCAGCCATGGCACCCGGTGGCCTCGCTAGCACTTCTCACACAGGAGAGAGCACGAAACGATGACCCTTAGTCAAGATTATGTGAATAGCCACTCACGCATGCAAGCACTTGACAGAACACAACCATGTGACACCATGACCCAGGGCGCGACTGTGAGACAACACACACACCACGTGACCACACCACAGTGTGACATGACATGACCGTGACACCATGACCCAGGACAACACACACACCACGTGACAACACCACAGTGTGACATGACATGACCGTGACTCTGTGACCCAGGACAACACAACACACCACGTGACAACACCACAGTGTGACACGACATGACAGGACCGTGACACCATGACCCAGGACAACACAACACACCACGTGACCACACCACAGTGTGACACGACATGACTGTGACACCATGACCCAGGACAACACAACACACCATGTGACAACACCACAGTGTGACACAACATGGCTTTATGACACCATGACCCGGACAACACAACACACCGTGACAACACCACGAGTGTGACCACGACATGACCGTGACACCATGACCCAGGACAACACAACACACACCGCGTGACAGCACCACAGTGTGACACGACGCCGAC